GTGGGATCTAGGGGATCAGATAGGAGGGGGCTGTCACGTGGGGATCCAGGGGATCAGACAGGAGCAGGGCTGTCATGTGGGGATCCAGGAGATCAGACAGGAGGGGGCTGTCACGTGGGATCCAGGGGATCAGATAGGAGGGGGCTGTCATATGGGGATCCAGGAGATCAGACAGGAGGGGGCTGTCACCTGGGGATCCACGGGATCAGACAAGAGTGGGGCTGTCACGTGGGTATCGAAGCACAGCTGAGGCCCGGGGTTTTTGGGTTTTATAGATCGGGGGCAATTTCAGAGTTTTGGAAGCTGACATCCTGTTGCTAGATTTTTATTTTGCCAAGTAAAGACTTAAAAAATGTTGCTATTTTTACTGTAATTAACACCCAAAATTATAGGAATGGCATTATCTCAGAGTAAAAGGCAGTCCTTAAATTTTTTTTTTTAAAGATTTTTCATTTACTTGAAAGGCAGAGCGATAGAAAGAGGAAGAGAGATCTTCCACACAAGCTCCCCACATGCCTGCAGTAGCCAGGGCTGGGCCAAGCTGAAGCCAGGAGCCTGGAGCTTCATCTGGATCTCCCACAAGGATGGCAGGGGCCCAAGTATTTGGGCCATTTCCACTGCCTTAGCAGGAAGCTACATGGGAAGCAGAGTAGCTGGGGCTTGAACTTGGTGCTGTGATACGCACCAGTTCCTTCCTCCGCTGAGCCACACACCTATTCCAAGGCAGTCCTTTGGCTGCAGTACATTGAACTTCATTAAAAAAAAAAAAAAAAACTCACTGGGGCCGGCACTCTGGCGCAGTGGGTTAATGCCCTGGCCTGAAGCACCGGCATCCCATATGGGCACTGGTTCTAGTCCTAGCTGCTCCTCTTCCGATCCAGCTCTCGGCTACGGCCTGGGAAAGCAGTAGAAGATGGCCCAAGTCCTTGGGCCCCTGCACCCACATGGGAGACCCGGAAGAATCTCCTGGCTTCTGGCTTTGTATCGGCACCACTCCGGCCGTTGCGGCCATCTGGGGAGTGAACCAGCGGATGGAAGACCTCTCTCTCTGTCTCTACCTCTCTCTGTAACTCTGTCTTTAAAAAAAAAAACTCACTATGTTATTATTACTCCCCTGATTTATCTGGGGCCAGTGTAACGTTTGTCATGGGCCAAGCCATCCTTGGACAAGTGTTTGGGTACCCTTGACGTGGCAAACTCAGATTCCAGGCCACAGAAGTTCAGGACAGCTGGTTCCATGACTGAGACAAAGACCGAGGAGGGAGCTGGAGCTGCCAGCCCGGCCGTCTCTGCTCCCTCCCTTCAGAAGTTGCAAAGATCAAGTGGAAGGATGTGACCAAGTTCAGGAACGTTTCCACAGCGTCGGCGGCAAATGCTCCCAGAGCAGCTACCGCGTGCAGATGCCCTGGGCTGGGTGTGTGTGTGTGTGTGTGTGTGCGTGTGCAGGAAGCATTGGCATGGCAGCCCCTTTCAGGGCACAGCACCTGAGCGGGATGCGGCTGCACGTGGCTGAGTCCATGGGAGGCCACCAGGCCAACCTGAGGAACGGCAGGGACCTGAGCGGTCACGTGGTTTTCTGGATGAGCACGGGCCAGGCCACGGCTCCAGCCAGGGTGATGATCTTGGTTTGGAAAACCCTAGGCCCAACCCTGGCCACCTCTGGTTGCCCCAAGGGAGCGAGGCACCACCAGCATTCTCCCTGAAACGGGGTGCCCCATGTGACTCCCTCTGCTCTGTGGTCCCTGCAGCTGGGAAGGAAGGTGGAGACCATCACCATGATTTACGACTGCGAGGGGCTCGGCCTCAGGCATCTCTGGAAGCCTGCGGTGGAAGCCTATGGAGAGGTGAGAGAGGGTGCGGAGGGCGCGGGAGACAGAGCCGAGGGGGAGGGGAGCCGGCCTCCTCCGCAGGGGTGAGGCCAGACGGGGCGGATTCTGGAAGGCGGAGTCCCTAGCATCAGAGCCGTTCCGTTTCCACAGTTCCTCTGCATGTTCGAGGAAAATTATCCTGAGACACTGAAGCGCCTCTTTGTTGTCAAAGGTGGGTCGGGGATGATGTCATGCAGGTGGGGGGGGGGAGGCGGGGCCAGACATAGGACTGGGTGGGGCCGATTCGGGAGAGGAGAAGCGAGTGAGCCGGGGAGGGGCCTAAGCGTGTGTCCAGGAAAGGGACCCTTGACTCCTGTAGGCCCTGCCAGGAAGGGAGCCCGTAGCTGTCCCACTGCACTGCCTGAGGAGCTGGGCGTCACAGGGGCACACGGCCTGGGCTGCCCATGGGAGCCCCGTGGCGCGCGGGGCCCCACCCCAGCTGGGAGTGCTTTGGAGAAGGGGGTCGTGGACCAAACCGTTTGGGCCACACTGAGCACTGATCCTTGGTCTCGGTTCCAGCCCCCAAGCTGTTTCCTGTGGCCTACAACCTCATCAAGCCCTTCCTGAGCGAGGACACTCGCAAGAAGATCATGGTCCTGGGAGGTGAGGGCCGCAGGATGGGATGGATGGACATGGGGCTGGCTTCAGAGGCCACGGCCACTGCCTGGCGGCTGCCTCGGCTCATCTGGTGGTGGTGGGCGGGGCTCTGGCCTTGCTGTTTTCCTAGGAACTCTTTCTCTCAGACACTCATTATTTATTTATTTATTTTAAAAAGACTTATTTATTCATTTAAAAAGCAGAGTGACAGAGAGGGAGAGAGAAACAGAGACAGAGAGAGAGAGAGATCTTCCATACTTCCCCGATGGCCACACTGGCCCAGGCTGAAGCCAGGAGCCTGGAACTCTGTCTGGGTCTCCCTTGTGGGTGGCAGGGGCCTGAGCACTTGGGCCATCTTCTGCAGCTTTTCCCAGGTGCATTTACAGGGAGCTGGATGGGAAGTGGAGCAGCCGGGACTCAAACCGGCACTCACATGGGATGCCGGCATTGGCTTTACCTACTGCGCCACAGTACCAAGCCCCTCTCAGACACACTTGAAGCAATCACTGGGCTCCCTGTGACAGATTCGAAGATGATGGAAACACCAGTCCTTGCCCTCAAAGAGCTTATAGCATTGACAGGGGCGAGAGAAACCACACAGCAAACTGGACATGGCGCAGAGACAAATTGGACATGGCACAGAGAGGTGCCCTAGAGATCAGTCAAAGAACAAGGTTGCTTTAGTTTGGAGGCATGTAGGAGGGGCTACCCTGGACAAGTGCCTGCTGTGGGCCAGGCCCTACACCGGGAGCCAAGGCTGCAAAGATGAAGACTTGGAGTCCCTGGGAAAGCTCTTGGCCTCTCGAGGGAAGGGAGACACAGAGGGCTGTCTAGCAGCTGACTATGGTAAGTGCAAGAGAGGGGAGCCCACAAGGGGCCTGGGAGCCCAAGCAGGGTCACCCACCCCCCACTCCCAACCTGAGCTAGGGAGGTGATGCCTCCCAGAGCTGCCTGCCGCAGAGTGCCAGCCAGCCAGGCAGGTGAGATGGAGCAAGGCAGGAAGCTGCCTGGCAGAAGGAGCAACGTTGAGCCAAGACTTTACCCAGCATGGCACAGGCGGTTGTTACGGAAAGTGAGGCAGGGCATGGCAGGAGACGAGGCTGGGGAGAGGGAGCCAGGGGGGCACGGAACCCTAGACTCCCTGGTGAGGAGCTGGGACATGACTCTGCAGGCCGCCAGGCACCAGGGAGGAGAGCTCTGGGCAGGGGAGCCCCGCGATCAGGTTGTACACTGAGCAACACTGTGTTGGCAGGGTTGGGAAGGGCAGGTGCCAGTGTGCAGACTGTTGCCACAGTTGATGCAAGGGGCATTGTCAGCCTGAACCGGAGCAGTGGCAAAAGGGACTGGGGAGAGGACGGACTTAGCCAGCACTGTGGAGCAGTAGGTGGGGCGCTGCCTGCGACGCCAGCATGTGAGCGCAGGATAAAGTCCTGGCTGCTCCACTTCTGATCCAGCTCCCTGCTAATGTGCCTGGGAAAGCAAAAGAAGACAGCCTGAGTGCTTGGGCCCCTGCACCCTCATGGGAAACCAGGATGGAGTTCCTGGCTCGCGGCTTCGACCTGGCCTAGCCCTGGCTGTTACGGCCATTTGGGGAGTGAACCAGCAAATGGAAGCTTGCGCTCTCTCTCTCTGACTTTACCTTTTAAATAAGTAAGTCAACCTTGTTTATTTGAAAGGCAGAGTTATGGGGTGAGAGTGTGCATGCACATGAGAGAGAAAAACAAATCTTCATCCACTGGTTCATTCCCCATATGGCTGCAACAGCCAGAGCTGAGCCAGGCTGAAGCCAGGAGTCTCTCCCAGGTCTCCCATGTAGGTGCAGGGGCCCAAGCACTTGGGCCATCCTCTGCTGGTTTCCCAGGCTCATTAGCAGGGAGCTGGATCAGAACTGGAGCAGCCAGGACTCAAACCGGTCCCCATAAGGGATGCTGGCACTGCAGTCAGTGGCTTAACTTGCTGTGCCACTTCACCAGCCCCAATCTTTTTTTTAAAGATTTATTTAGGAAGTAAAATAGCAGAACTCAGTCAACCAGATGTGGAGGGAGAAAGAGAAATCTAGGAGTCCTTGGTGTCTGGCACAAGCGGTTGAGTAGGTGGTGATGTGGTTAGACACTGGGAAAGACTTGTGGAAGAGTAAACTTGAAGTAAACTTGAAGTTGACTTTGAGGAGTTTGAGATATACAGAGTTTTGGGAACACTTGAGGCAGAAGCTTACGAGAGAACGCCAGCGTGGAGATCACATTTGTCAAAGGCAGCAGCTGAAACCTGGAGAGAGAAGACTGTGGAAGCACAGAGCCTGGACCCCAGGGGCTATCCAAGTTCAAGGACAGGCAGAGCAAGAGGAGCCCACCGGGGAGTCTGGAGAGTGGTTAGTGAGGCTGGCAGAGTAGCTGTCAGTGGGGATTGGATATGTAGGGGAGCGGGGAGAATGCCAGGGCACGGGGGAAGGTGTGACCCAAAAGGGAGCCAGCAGGATGTGCAGGCACCAAGGCCGGCCCCGGGGCAGGCGGGGAGGAGTTCGATTTTGCTGGGGCAGGAAGTGCAGTGGTAGGAGCAAGGGCTGGAAAAGTAGACAGGGCCAGGTTCCTGCGGGGTTTGATGCCACCTATGGAGTTGAACTTGGGGTGATGAGGACTCGGGAGGCTTCTGAATGACACGCTCCCCACTGTGTGCCAGGGAGACCCTGGGAGTGGAGAGAGGGGTCATCACCAACGCATGGGGCTCCTGGCTTCTAGAAGCTTCTAGAACCAGCTCTGGTGGCAGCAGGTTCTCCTTGCTACCTCAGCTACTCTCTCTGTAAGATGGGAAGAACACTCCTGGCCTTATCCCAAGTCTGCAACTGAGCCAAAGGCGTCTGTGGCTTTTGGTTTTTCTGTGCCTGCCACCCACCACGTGCATGATGGGAGGTTTGGTTGCTGGGCAGCAGAGCTACAGGGGAGGTTCGGTCTGTTCTCCCACCCACACCTAAAAAACTCTTTCAACCAAACCCGCCTCCAGGGAGGTGGGGGGCAGGGAGGTACAGGATCTTCAATGCAGGAGCGAGGAAATTCACTCCAGGCTGATCATTGGCGCTTAGTGGTGCCAGTGAAGTCACCCCAAGACCATAAACACACACTGTGTTCCCAGGAGTCACTTGGTCGCAGGACCATAAAAAAGCAAGGCTGGCACCTTCTGTCTGGGGATGCAGCCAGCCCAGCACAGGACACGGGGTTGCGTCCTGGGGCTCAGAGCCACTGCCTCTAATGGAGCTAAGACGGCCAGTGTGGCAAAGGGAGCTGGTATCAAGATACTGCATTTGGCCGATGTTTCTTTAGGCACCTGGACTGGTGGAGAAGTGGTTCTTGGTTCTCAGCTCTGGCTGTGCCAGAGTCAAACTCTGCTGGTCGGGAAAGAAAAAAGAAAAAAATGAGAGGGACCACAGGAAGCTGAGTGGGACCACAGGAAGCGAAGCGGCTAAAAGCAACAGGGGCAGAAGTAGAAGCTGCGGCCGGGCTGACGCCAAGGGAACCCTTTTAAAGGGTTGCTCTGCAGTGATGCGTTTGCTCAGTAAGTCACAGCTGAGCACGGCCAGGTGTGGGGCAACGTGGGAGTGAGACACACACACAGATTTGGGGCCATTTGTGATGCCGGCATCCCATATCAGGGCGCCTGCTCAGAGTCCTGGCTGCTCCACTTCCCATCCAGCTCCCCACTAACGTGCCTGGGAAAGCAGCGGAGGATGGCCCAAGTGCTTGGGCTCCTGCCACCCATGTGGGAGACCTGGATGGAGTTCCAGGCTCCTGGCTTCGACCTGGCCCAGCCCTGGCTGTTGGGGCCATTTGAGGAGGGAACCAGCAGATAGAAGACCTTTGTCTCTCCCTCTCCCTGTCTCTCTTTCACTCTGCAAAGACAGGCACAGCCCTGCCCTCACCAAGTGCAGCCTAAGCAGGATGGGTGATATTGATTCAGGCCTCTGAACACGCTGTTTCCTCTGCATACTGCCCCCCTCCCCCACTTCTGCTTGTGCTTCTGTATTTGTCTCGCCTTCCTAGGGGACTAAACTCACGCATGCCCGGCCCTTGGCCCTTGGTGACGCCTGCTGCCGTGTACCGAGTTCATGTCACATCCACCATAACCCTCTGGAGCAGGAGGTTCTAGGCTCAGTAGCTCAGCTGGTTGGAGGAATGAGGACAGGAACCCAGACCCCCCTGGTGCTTAGTCTAGGGCAGGGCTGTCCCCTGGGTGGTCTAGGGCAGGGCTGTCCCCTGGGTGATGACGACTCCTGAATTCTCTGCAGCTCTCTCTCATATGCTCCTAATGCTTCTTTTTTGGCAGAGGGGCGTGGGGAGAGGAGCAGGGACAGGTGTTTCTGCCTCGTTAGTGTAGACCAACCGGGGCTGTGCGATCTTGCCTGGCAGTGACACGTGCCTGGCCTTCCCTGTCTTGTCAGCAAACTGGAAGGAGGTTTTACTGAAATACATCAGTCCCGACCAGGTGCCTGTGGAGTACGGGGGCACCATGACCGACCCTGATGGAGACCCCAAGTGCAAGTCCAAGGTAGGGGCTGCCGGGGGGACCAGAGGCGAATGGGGGAGGCCTGGCTCACATGCACCTTCCAACTCACCCCGTTGCGGCTCCTCTCGCAGATCAAGTACGGGGGTGACATCCCCAAGAAATACTACGTGCGCGACCAGGTGAAGCAGCAGTACGAACACAGCGTGCACATTTCCCGCGGCTCCTCCCACCAAGTGGAGTATGAGATCCTCTTTCCCGGCTGTGTGCTCAGGTGAGGGGCCCGGGGGCCCATGCCGGGAGGTGCAAGCCTTCCACTCGCAGGTGCGGGAACACGCGCAGGGCACGCCGAGAGAGGAGCCTGCCCGAACAGGTGCATATCCCCTGCAGGTGGCAGTTTATGTCCGAAGGGGCGGATGTTGGTTTTGGGATTTTCCTGAAGACCAAGATGGGGGAGCGGCAGCGAGCCGGGGAGATGACGGAGGTGCTGCCCAACCAGAGGTACAACTCCCACCTGGTGCCTGAGGACGGGACCCTCACCTGCAGCGAGCCCGGCATCTGTAAGTATCCCCCTGTCTGTCTTGGCCGTGCCTTTATGCACCTGTCCTGCTTTCTGCCCTGGAGGCCCTGTCCCTGCGTGGATTTAGACTCTCAGAAGCCGAGCTGCCCAGTGGGGAGACCTAGACTTTGGAGAGGTGGAATGACTTGTTCCAGGTGACCCAGCTGCCTTATGGCAGGATGGGACTCCCAGGTGTCGGTGAGTCCCAGTCCTGAGGCACCGCTGGGGCTCAGAACGTGTGCTTTTCCCAGCCCAGGTGTAACTGGGTCTGTGGCGATGGCCACGTGTGTCTTAGGGACACTCCTTGTGCATGGGATCAGAGAGGCGGAACTGGCTGGGTGGGGGGCAGGGACCACACTTGGCCCCGCCCCTCTGTGTTTCACCCAGGTCCAGCTTGAGCAGAGAGAATGGGCACATCCTGTGACCAGGCCATTTTATCTCCGGAGAGTGAGAGTGGCAACTAGATATCTGGAGTGGCCTTTGACCTCGGTGGACTTGGCAGTGCCGAGGAAAATTCCCTTTGCCTCAGCAGTTCTCCTTGTGGAAATTTATCCTACAGAAATAGCGACATAGATATGGAAAGCCCGAGGGACACAGGTGTTCCTAACAGCCCGGCGAGCTGGCAGGAAACTACATGGCCATAATAAGGCCTTGTTAAGTGCTTCGGTCATCCATACAAGGGGACATCCTATGCCCATGAAAGAAAATGACATGTAAAGTATCTGACGCGTGTCCAACAAAAGAAACACAAAACATAGGCACTCGCTTTGGTGCAAAAGAGAAAGAAAAAGAATTCTGGGCCCCCTGTGCTAGCTGTTACAGTGCTTTATCTCTTGGGTGCTTCTGGAGGGCTTTTATGTTCAACATGATTTCTGGAAATCTATTTTACTGTGATCATGAACTATATTTATACACACACACGCACATGCACGCGCGTGCACACACACACACACACACTCCTTCCCTGAAATCAAATCTTCAGCTTTCTTTCTATTTGAGCCAAGGGCTTTGTATGGAAAACCAGTGAAAGCAAGCGCCATCTCATCAGATCTCAGGACTTTTTTTTTTCCTTTTCCTTTTGATGATTTCTTTTTGTTTTATTTGAAAGGCAGACAGAGACGGAAAGAGCTTTTGTCTGTGGGTTCATTTCCCAAATGCCTGCAACGGCCAAAGCCAGGGGCCGGGAACTGGATCCAGGTCTCCCACGTGGGAAGCAGGGATTTCCGAGGGCTTGAGCCATCACCTGCCGCCTCTCAGGGCGTGCGCTAGGAGGAAGCTGGAATCAGGAAGTGGAGCCGGGACTCAAAGCCAGGCTCTCCGATGTGGGATGTGGGCATTTTAACTGCTGAGCCACACAGCTAACCAGCTGCATGGCTTTAGGCAGCTGACGCCACCTCCCGGAGTTTCAGCTTGCTGATTGCTGGAGCGAGGTAGCCCTGATGGTTTAACGTGATAAGGTCTGTGTGGCCCGTAGCACAATGCCTGGCAGAGAGCAACCGCTGGCTACTTCACGGCCACCACGGTTAGGGCAGGTGGGCGAGAAGCCCCGAGCCCACACTCCCACAGCAGCATCTGCAGGAGATCCAAGGCCATCTCACAGACGTCTGGGGCTCTGTGAGTGTCCACAGCGTCCCCGCCACCTCCCTCACGTCCCAGGCAGCCTTCAGTCCCTGCTGCCCCCTTCTCACAGACGGGAACTCCGTGGTGCCGTATGGCTCCTCGGGAGGAGAGGGGAGGGGAGGGCAGTATTTTTGTTAGTGAGCAGCCGGGTCCCTGGGGAGAAGGCGTTTGCTGTGAGCTTTGGCAAGAGCCAGGCTTAGCACCAGCCCAGACACTGTCACCCACACAGGAGAATGTGCACTGTACACAGGACCTTGGATTTCTTTGTTTTTTAGACAGGGAAGCTGGAGTTTAGAGCAGGGATGTTATCTTTCAGTGGCTTCTGTAGACATCCCAAGATGGAACACGCCAGAAATTCCTGGAGTCCTGGCCCAGGATCTCTCAGCTGCAGGCTGTCCTAGTGACAATCAGAAAGTCTGTCCTTGATGTGACAGAGGAAAGAGTGGACCCCAGCCCAGGGGAGCCCTGGAGGCAGTCAGGGAGCCCCAGCCCATCTTCCAGCTTCGCCCGTTGAAGGACACAGCCCACAAAGGCGCTGCGAACCTTTTGTCGCTTTTTTTTTTTTTTTTTGACAGGCAGAGTGGACAGTGAGAGAGAGAGAGAGACAGAGAGAAAGGTCTTCCTTTGCCGTTGGTTCACCCTCCAATGGCTGCCGCGGTCAGCACGCTGTGGCCGGCACACCGCGCAGATCCAAAGGCAGGAGCCAGGTGCTTCTCCTGGTCTCCCATGGGGAGCAGGGCCCAAGCACTTGGGCCATCCTCCACTGCACTCCCTGGCCACAGCAGAGAGCTGGCCTGGAAGAGGGGCAACCGGGACAGAATCTGGTGCCCCAACCGGGATTAGAACCCGGTGTGCCGGCGCCGCAAGGCGGAGGATTAGCCTAGTGAGCCGCGGCGCCGGCTCGGCACCGCGAACCTTTTAGCATCGCCAGGCGTGGGTCTGCAAATCCCACATTAATTTTAGCTCCTCTTGGACCATCCCCTCACCTGCCTGCAGGGCTGTGGCTATGATCTGCTTCTTTCCCATTCCCAGGAGGAACGGGGTCTGGCCATGGTGTCTGATCCCCTTTCCCAGGTGTCAAGACAAAGAGGTGGGATCAGCCGTGGTCTGGGATTGCGGCTCAGGTTCAGAGCCCAGAGAATCCAGCATTAGGTTGCAAGCTCACCTGTGTGAGGGCGGTGCCCTCGGAGAAGCAGGAGACCCGTGGCAAAGAGAAATGTGATCGCCCCGTGGAGGGATTAGACCTCTGGGCCGGTCTCCGATGCCAAGAGCACATGAACCCTCCCTGGGCTCCCCCTGTCCACGTCCAAGGGTACTGAGTCACTGGGGAGGTGGACCAGATTCTGAAACGAAGGAATCAGAGAATAGATCTGCCTTTTGCCCACAGGAGTGACCAAGGTGGAACAGAAGACCTCCACCACCACAGGGAGCTTACACGGGGTGGCCGGCAGTGCAGGGTGGAGAGAGCCCTCCCGGAGTCGGCCGTGCCCGCGTCCTGAGCAAGTGTCTCTACATCTTAGGGTAGGGAATGTCCGGCCCTGCCGAGGCCACCGCCGGCAGGAAGTTCAATAAATCTATAGCAGGCTTATTTTTAAGTTGATCACTTTGCATGGCCCGCAAGTGATGTTATAAATATCCTAATGGCCCTTGGCAGAAAAATGTACCCTGCAGCAAATAATCAGATTTGGCTTTTCTTCTCCTTAAAGGGAAAGAAGAGGAGTAGAGCCTGAGATCCTTTTTTTTTTTTTCCCCCAAGATTTATTTTTATTTATTGGAAAGGCAGAGTTACAGAGAGAGGGAGAGACAGAGATCTTCCTCCCCTGATTCACTCTCCAAATGGCCTCAATGGCCAGGGCTGGGCCAGACTGAAGCCAGGAGCCAGGAGCTTCTTCCAGGTCTCTTAGCTGGATCACAGGGGCCCAATCTCTTGGGCCATCCTCCGCTGCTTTCCCAGGTGTATTAGCAGGGAGCTGGATTGGAAGTGGAGGAGCTGGGACTTGAACCAACGCCCACATGGGATGCCAGCATAGCTTTACCTGCTACGCCACAGTGCCAGCCTGAGACAGGACTCTTAATCTGGCATCCACAAAATTCCTAGAGCAGTGGTCTCAACCCTAAATACCAAACGCTCTCCTTTTATAACAAATAGTGTCCAATATCCCCTTTACTGTGCGAGGGGGAATTCACCACAATATAACCCATCTACACACATAATTTCAACGTCAATTATGATTTCTTTGTAATATGAAAGTGAAATTAAGTTGACTGAGAATATATGTTTTTTAGAGATTTACTTATCTGAAAGGCATAGTAACAGAGAGGGAAGACAGAAATCTTTGATCTGTTGGTTCACTCCCTAAATGGCTGTGACAATGGGAGCTGGGCCAGGCCAAAGCCTGGAGCCAGGAGCTTCTTTCCTACATGGGTGGCGTGGGCCCAAGGGCTTGGGCTACCCTCTGCTGCTTTCCCAGGCACGTTAGCAGGAAGCTGGGTGAGAAACAGAGCAGCTAGAACTTGAATTGGCACTCTAGTATGGAATGCCGGCAGTGTAGGCAGCGGCTTAACCTGCTGGGCCACAATGCCAGCCCCTAGGATATATAAATATATATTTCAATGTATAAAGGAGGGGCTGGGAGAAAATTAAAATTAATAAATATATTTTTTGAATAAGGGAAAAAATGTATAAAGGAGGGGCGAGATTACAGCAACTCCCCTTCCCCTTCAGAATGGCTCCTTCCCCGCTGGGAACCCCGGGCCCCAGGGAACCTGACATTGTGTGTTTTGATCATTTCCTCCTGGGAGGCGGTTACCTAACAAGAGGTGAAGGAGCCTACACCTGGGGGTCTCTGGGGGCGCTGAGAGTGGCTGATTAGCATCTGAATGAAGCCTGCAGACTCTGGAGCTGCAGGCACCTTGGGCCTGGGCCTCCGACCCAGGGGCAGAGAGCACAGTGGGGGTACTTAGTCCAGGGAGCTCAAGACCTCTCTAGCGGCATGGCGGCCTCTGGCTGCTCAGACCCTGTCATCCAGGGCAGAGGGGACGCCTCACTCTTTCTGGGGGCGCGGGTGGGGGTGGGGTGGAGGAGCACCCATGAGTCCTGGAAGACTGTGAGAAAACAGGTGACTGATGCTCACTTCCCACCAGGTCTGAAAGATGCATTTTGTCCAGGGACGGGAAAGGAGAGAGGCTATGTTTTAGGATTAAACACAGACTTTTGTGTCCCCACCTCCCTTCTCCCCCGCTGCTGTTGGGGAAAGTGAGAATACCAGGCTAAGGAAGGGGCAGAGCTAGGGTTTTTATTTTTTAAGATTTTTTTTTTCATTTATTGGAAAGGCAGTTATAGACAGAGAGGTCTTCCATCCCCTGGTTCACTCCCCAAATGGCCACAAAAGCAGCAGGGGCCCAAGGACGTGGGCCATCTTCCACTGCTTTCCCAGGCCATAGCAGGGAGCTGGATTGGAAGTGGAGCAGCCGGGACTCGAACTGGTGCTCTGATATTTTTAGTTTAATTTGACCTCACAGTGCGTTATTAGGGATAGCTCCGCTGTAGTCGAGGGCCATCTGTTTGAGCAATTGTCCTCTGGGGGACATCTGAGTCTCCCTACCCGATCCTTGTCACACACAGGTGCGCTGAGCGTCTTTGTCCATTTCTCTTGCTGTGGATAAATTGCTGGCAGACGGAGTCTGCACATTTTATCTTTTGGCAGAGACCGAACAAGGCCAAGCCTTCCATGGCCCAAGTCAGGCTGGCCAGAGGCAGCCATGTGGGCAAGAGGGAAATCCTAAAAGGCTCCGCAGGTCCTCACTGCATGGCCAAACTGCCCTTCTCCTTACAGGCTATAACACAGGACCAGTGTGTGAGGGAACACACACATTACTGTCACAGCGACTACTGCTGCCACTCATTCTTTTTTTTTTTTTTTTAAGATTTATTTATTTATTTGGAAGTCAGAGTTACACAGAGAAGGAGAGGCAGAGAGAGAGAGAGGTCTTCCATCCGCTGGTTCACTCCCCAGATGGCCGCAACGGCCAGAGCGGCGCCGATCTGAAGCCGGGAGCCAGGAGCTTCTTCTGGGTCTCCCACGTGGGTGCAGGGGTTCAAGGACTTGGGCCATCTTCTACTGCTTTCCCAGGCCACAGCAGGGAGCTGGATCGGAAGTGGAGCAGCACTGGCCCTGCCACTAATTCTTCCCCTTTCAAAGCTCAGCGAAAGCTCCAACTTGTCTGAAGGGCCCTGGTTTCGGTCTGTAGGAGCCCTGTTCTAAGACAGAGGTGGACATCTGGCCCATGGCCTCCGTATGAGGCTCAAGAAATCATCTGGTCTCGAAATTCAATACATCCGTGTAGCTGGCTAATTTTCAAGTTGATGGTTTTGTACGGCCTGCGGCTGGTGTGATAAATACCCTTATGGCCCTTTGGCGGGGGAATAAAGGATCCCTCACCCCTATAAGCTGTCCCAGATGTGACTGTCACTCATCTGGCTTCCGTTTTCCTCTCCCCATGGCAAATGTCTCGTCCACCCAGCGAGGCTAAGTTACAGAAGGTCAGGGTCCATCACCGACGCTACCTTCACCCCAGTACCCACCACAACTACCGTGCTCGGTGAACAAAAATCAGCAGTGATCACAATAGAAAAAAACATTTAAAAAAGCAATATTGGGGCCGGCTCTGTGGCACAGTGGGTTAAAGTCCTAGCCACCGGTTCGAGTCCCGGCTGCTCCACTTCCCATCTGGCTCTCTGCTATGGCCTGGGAAAGCAGTAGAAGATGGTCCAAGTCTTGGGGCCCTGCACCCACATGGGAGACCTGGAAGAAGCTCCTGGCTCCTGGCTGTGGCTCAGCACAGCTCCCATCATTGCGATCAACTGGGGAGTGAACCAGCGGATGGAAGACCTCTCTCTCTGGCTCTACCTCTCTCTGTCACTCTTTCAAATAAATCTTTTTCTTTTTTTTCGACAGAGTGGACAGTGAGAGAGAGAGAGAAAGGTCTTCCTTTTGCCGTTGGTTCACCCTTCAATGGCCGCTGCGGCCAGTGTGCTGTGGCTGGCGCACTGCGCTGATCCGAAGCCAGGAGCCAGGTGCTTCTCCTGGTCTCCCATGGGGTGCAGGGTCCAAGCACTTGGGCCATCCTCCACTGCACTCCCGGGCCACAGCAGAGAGCTGGCCTGGAAGAAGGGCAACCAGGACAGAATCCGGCACCCCAACCAGGACTAGAACCCAGTGTGCTGGCGCCGCAAGGCGGAGGATTAGCCTAGTGAGCCACGGCGCTGGCCTCAAATAAATCTTAAAATTTAAAAAACCAAAACAAAAAAAAAACAAAAAAAGCAATACCCCCCCCCAGCCCTGCCCCCGCCCCGCCCAGAACTGTCTCAATGTCCGGTTTTCTGCCTCCTCAGATGTCCTGCGGTTTGACAACACCTACAGCTTCATCCACGCCAAGAAGGTCAGTTTCACGGTGGAGGTCCTGCTGCCAGACAAAGCCTCCGAGGAGAAGATGAAGCAGCTGGGGGCCGACAGCCCCAACTAACGGCCCCCCACCCCCACCCCCACCCCCGCCAGCGGGCCTGAGCCCCTCGGTGTCTCCCTGTCGGCTTCTTCCTAGCAATCATTCCCGCCGCCACCCTGCAGCCCACAGAACCCGGGCTGCAGGAAAGACTTGCGCGGGGAGCTTCCGTTTCAGAATCAGGAGTGGGGGTGGGGTCTCCTTGCCTCTGATTCCTACGGAGGCCCCAGGAGCTGGCCCGCCGCCCCGTGATGGGATCTGCCTGTCCTGTCTGTCTGTAAGCTGTGCCAACTGTCACTTGTCCAGTGACGAACTAAGCCAGGGAAAGGGGTACCACGGGGTGGCAGCAGGCTAGGAATCAGCAAAGAGGGGGAGCGATCGAGGTCTCACGCTTGCTCCCAAGCCAACGAGGGAGGAAGCCGAGGTCATTGCCAAGGGTAGGGAGTCCACTGGGGGTTGCTGGAGCCATGGTGGGGGTTCTTGGGAACTTTTTCTCACTTTGGCTTTCCCCAAAAGAGCACAAAATCTTCCCATCCGCGCACCCGGTGGGACAGACAGGCAGGCAGGCTTCTGTCGCCCCGGGGAACTCAGCCACTCCTGGGCTCCCACGGTTGCCTCCTTAATCGATTACTAATGATTGTCAGCGACTTGAGCTTCCTGGGACGTGGGTGACAAGTCCCGGTTCTCCCGCGGGCTCGCTGCTCCCCCCACGGAGGGCCCGGGAGGCTGGGGGCTGGGAGCGAGTGCTACAGCAGGGGTCTCCGGGCCCCTTCTCATTGCCACCTGCCTCTCATCAAGGACCTTCCATCTGACAAGCGGGATCGCGGCAGTAGCACTCAGAGGGGGCCACGTCCCAGTCGTGCCCGCCGGCGTAGGTAGCCAGGCCGGGAGGTCGCCCGGGCGGCATCTCGCGGGGGCCGGGGGCCGCCTCGCCTCCCCCAGCCCCTAACCCGACCCCATTCGGCCTGCGATGGGACGCACACCAGTAGGGAAAGCGGACCCACGTTCCCGCGGGAATGCCAGGCCCTGGCCCGGCCGGCACAGAGCTAGACCGGGCCGGAGGGGACCAAGGCTGAGGCTGCAACAGGCCCAGTGGGACCGGTCCGCTCAGGACATGCTGGCCTTGGTTTACAATGCTCTGTTAGGAAATTTAACCAATGAATAAAGCAGCGTTCAGTGCGCAGGGAGTGACATTCAATGACCCCCCCGCCCGGTTCCTCTCTACTTCCCCACTCAGCTGCCTCGGGAGAGTGGCACCTTCCCGCCAATGGGCAAGGCGCATGCGCAGGAATCCTGGCCCGCGTCTCTGAGCGCTTTCCGATAGGGCCAGCTATGCTCTGATTGGTTCAGCCCGTAGGTGTTTTTCCGCCATCTTTGCTGAGGGCACCAATAGGCTCCTTTTCGCCTTCACAGTGAGGGCGTAGGCCCCGCCCTGCTTGGCTGATCACTACGTGCCCGGTGGGTCGTGCGCACCCGGAGCCGGTACGGCCTGGCGCCCGCCGCGGTTACTGAGAGCCCTGAGAGGGAGGGAGGCTGAGGTCACGTGTTTTTAGGGACCGTCTCCTAATTCCGCGCCAGCACTGCCTGTGTGTCAAGGGCTGGGGACAGCTTTTGTGGTCCCCTTCGTCTGGACTTGAGCCCGAGTCCTCGGGAAGTGACCGCTGACCGGACTGCCCCGTAGGACGCGGCATTGGCGAGAGGGCTGAAACCCAGGGGTTCAGTAGGGAATCCGTGGTGTTCCCCCATCTTTGATTTGATAATAAAAGCTTAATTCTTCCACGCAGCAATCCAGTGCTCACCGCCTGGGGTTGTCGCAAAGATCTGAGGAACTGCACAGCGCTCAGAACCGCCTGGTACTCGCCGGCGCTCAGTAAACATTGACTGCCCTCATTTTTTTTCCCCTTTTTTTGCTGGAGCTCAGGGGAAAGCTAACAGCGCGCGGGAAGCACTACTGGGATGCGAGCCCGGGACTGAGGGTCTCCAGTGGCTTCGCTGCTACCCCAAGGGAGTCACAGGTTTAATGCAGTTCACTCACTGCTCCCGTGGGTGCCAGGGTGCAAGGGTTTCCTCCTGTTGCCGGCCACAAGCCCCCTCACTCTGTTCTGTGCCTTCCCCGGAGCTGGTACCCAACCCTCTCTCCCTTTCCCCATTCATTCATTCCTGCCCCCACAGGCTGCTTGGCTGTTAGAGGCCAGTGCTTGAGGGATGACACAAGGGGTTCTGGTGTCGCGGCACCCTCCCCCAACCCAGGGCGGTCAGCACCCAACCCCCCCAGCCTCACATCCTGAGCACCCCTTAAAAGAGTGCAGGATGTGGGTTCGGACTCGGACGCCATCTCCCAGCCGCGGTGTGTCCGCAGCGGGTGCCCTGGCTTCTCTGGGCCTCCGGCCGAGGACTCCAGGGAGCAAGCCCTGGAGAGAGCCCTTAGGGAGCTCAGGAAGTGACAACTGCTCAAAGGAACCCCGGCCGCCAGCCCAGGCAGTGGGGGCCCCATCTCAGCCATGAGAAAAGCCAGGCTCAGAGAAGTAGCTTCTTGCCTGGGTCACACAGCTAGGAAGTGTGGCATCCCTTCGCAAAATTAAATTAAATAAATGGAATAGAATGCAATAAATAAAATAAAATAATAAAATAAGTGAAATAAAATAAAATGAAATAAAAATATTACATCCAGTCTCGGGAGAGGCTTGCGCACCTGCTCAGAGGAACCATGGGTAAACCGGTCCTGGGAGAGGGGCTTCGGCGCACAGGGGAATTTGCAGACGCTCCCTGCCGGCGGGGATCGCCCGTCCTGCCCTTCAGCCGCGGACCTTGCCCGGTCCCGCCGCGGTGGACCCGACAGTGCCGGTGGAGTCCGGGGCGGAGGCAGCAGCGGAGGCCTTGCGGGCTGCAGTGGGAGGATCATGTCGGAGCCGCAGCCGCGGGGCGCCGAGCGCGACCTCTACCGGGACACGTGGGTGCGATACTTGGGTGAGTGCGGGGCGGTGGGCGCGGGAGACTAGGGGGGCAGGGGGCGGGGGAAGCCGGATGGCAGCCCAGGGTCTGGAGGGTGCAGGGCAGGGGCTTAGTGCTCATTCTGCTTGGGCCAGAGACGGGGCTCAGAGAGGGCTGGGGACTGGCCCAGTACCTGGCTGCCCAGGTCTGCCCGGGGTCCCTGCTGGCCCGACCTCCCAGGATGGAAGGGGGAACAGGGCGGGGGGCGGGCTGCGCTCTCCGGCATCAAGGGGGTCTGGCTCCTGTGGTGGGCTAAAGGGGTGGTGGAATGAGACAAAGCGTAGAAAGATCTGGAACGTGGTAAACGTGTCTTGTCGGTGGGGCTGCCCTTGACCCACCGCCTCATTAGTGCCGACACTCCTGGAACCCCAGCTGGGGAGAGCCGCGATCATGGTGTCCCGTGCTCAGCCCTCGCACGGTGGTCTCACGGCCTCAGTGGGCACCACCCTACACCCTGGAAACTGAGGTCCCGAGAGGTAAAGTCACCCGTCTAAGGTCACCCGGCTACCTTAGCAGCCTCGGGGTAGCACCTGCTGGCGGGAGCGCCCTCTTGTGGAGCAGCCCATAGATCTTCCAATGACCTGTCTCCCTCCCTAACCCTCCCCAGGCTATGCCAATGAAGTGGGGGAGGCTTTTCGCTCGTTGGTGCCGGCGGCCGTGGTGTGGCTGAGCTATGGGGTGTCCAGCTCCTACGTGCTGGCCGATGCCGTTGACAAAGGCAGGAAGGCGGGAGAGGTGCGTATCAGCCTGCCCTCCAACCCTCACCCCACCCCACCCGCTCCCAGTGTGGTTGAGTGCCCAGCCTTGGGGACGTGCAGCAAGCCCGCACGCTGGCCTGGTGCAGCCCCAACTCTGGGCCTGCCTGTAGGGTAGTACACTGCACCCCACACCCTATTTCTGGGTTGAAACCCTAATCCTGCGTGTGGCCCAATCCACCCCCAGCCCTGAATGTGGTACAGTCCAGAACCCAACCCTAGGGCTGCTCCCTCTGCCCCAGTGCCACGCCCCTGGTGGCCACTTCCTCCTCCCCAGGTCTGCTCCTCGTGTGTCTTCGGCAGCATTTCCTGCCACCCCACCCACCCCAGCTTTCTAAGTGTCTCTGTGCCCATCAGGTGCCCAGTCCCGGAGGAGGCCGTGGCACCAGAGTGACCGTAGCAGTAGTGGACACCTTTGTGTGGCAGGCTCTGGCCTCCGTGGCCATCCCCGGCTTCACCATCAACCGTATATGTGCCGCCTCTCTCTACGTCCTGGGCACTGCCACCCGCTGGCCCCTGGCCGTCCGCAAGTGGACCACGACCGCGCTCGGGCTGCTGGCCATCCCTGTTATCATCCACCCCATCGACAGGTGGGTGCCCGCCCTCCTGGCCTCAGGGGCCGTCGGCTCTGCAGGTGGAGTTCGGCTGGGAGAGGCGTGAGAGATGCCCGCTGTGCACATGACAGTGGCAGCAGAGGGCACCGCAGTCCCGTGGGGCTTGGGGGTGCCCTTGGCACATGACCTGGCAGGAAAGGAAGAGGAGCGCCCTGGGGAGATGGGACACAGGGCCAGGAAATTCTCAGAAAGAAGACCTGTGTTGCCAAACAACCCGGGGCAGGCAGGAGCAGGTGCACCCTGCGGGGTGAGGGAGGTGTTGCCACAGATGCATAAAAATCAAAGGTTTTGCTTTCAAGTGTGGCTGGTTCCAGGCACCCAAACGATGTCGGTGAAGACCTGGGTCTTCCCAGCCTGCTGTCCTGTCTCTGCCCTGCCCCTGCCCTTGTTGGCTTCACCCACCCTCCCTGCCTGGGAATGGAGGAATCCCCAGCGGCTTCCAGCCCCCCCCCCCCCCAGCAGCTTAGCAAGCCCCATCAGAAGCTTTTTGATAATGACAATAAAAATCTCAAGGAAGGCTGTCATTGGTCTATCCCAGATTGAGTGCCCACCCCCGAGCCAGTTTCTGTTTTCTGATTGGCCAAGGCGTGGGTCACACCTGCCTGCTCTTAGAACCAGAGATGTTGTCAACCCAACCTGCCCAGCACCGAGTGGGAAGAGAAGCCTTTGTCCTTGGGGAAGCATAGCTGACCCTGAACTCCCCCCCCCACTACCATGAGAGTTCTTCACTGTTAATGTGCCTCAGTTTCCCCACCTGAATAAAGAAGAGGAAGAAGGCTACCCTCCCTGGGGTTTGATTCTGATTTTTCAAGTAGCCCAGGTGAGAGTGGTGGGACTGGGACAAGGACAGGTGTCCCCCTGGATGGCACTTGGATCCCAGCCCCAGCCGCCTGCCCCTGGTGCCTCCCAGCATGCCTTAGTCACCTGCTCAGCACCTCCCCTCCCTACAGGTCGGTGGACTTCCTGCTGAACTCCAGCCTGCGTAAGCTCTACCCATCCGTGGGGAAGCCCAGCTCCTCCTGAGCCCACCCTGGTACCTGGCCTGCGAGTTGGCTCACTCCCACCATGGGAAGTGGGGGCCAGGCTCCCCGGGGTCTGAGGCCCTGGCACCTGTGTGGATTTGAACTGGATGGAAGCTTAGAGATGGGGGTTTCTGGGAGCAGCAGCTGCAGCGAGTCCCAGACGGAGGCGGGACCTGACCCCCCAGCTGTCTCCACGGACACTGTGACGGTGGCGGGGAGTGGCGCCATCTTTGGCAGGGAAGTCACACCCTCCCGCGGGGGATGAGGAGACGGAAGCCTGGAGAGGGCAAGGAATGTGCCCGGGGTCACTCGGCAGCCTGGGCACTGGCTCTCCTGGCGGCTTGGCTGTCACCCCCATGGCGGTGCGGCTGGACAAGGGGCAGCAGACGCTCAGGGAGAAAGGCAGGAGCGGCAGTCCCCAGGACAGCTCAGGACACAGTGTCCTTACAGCCCAGCCCTGGCGCAGGGGCTGCTGGGGCCTGGCCGGGAGCCAGTCATTGGGCAGCCACAGGAAATCTGTAAGAAGCTGAGTTCTCAGGTCAGATGTTATGGCACAGTGGGAAGCCTGCATCCCATGTTGGAGTTTGCTGGGATCCAGTCCTGCCTCTTCTTGTTGTAGTGCACCTGGGAGGCAGCAGGTGGCGCTCAAGTACTTGGGTCCCTGCCACCCAGGTGGGAGACCTGGATGGAGCTCCAGGCTCTTGGCTTTGGCCTGGCCCAGCCCTGGCTGTTGCAGGAATTTGGGAAGTGACTCTGCTGTTGGAAAATCTTCCTTCCTCTGTCTCTCTCTGTTGCTCTGCC